CCCCACACCTGTAACATGCATTTGGACCCTGGTCCCCACGATTCACTTCGGTCCCCACCTGGCTGCTTTTTTTGTAAAATATACCCCATGTTGTAGGAAAAACTCGTGTACACACACACACACACACACACACACACACACACAGATGTGGTGACAACCACTAGTAAGAAGACAGAGGTTAAAAACCTTCAGCCTTTTAAACAGCGCCGCTCGCTTTTCAGTCTGCTGAAGACCTCGACCCTCCTGCCAACGTTTCATCTGAACGTTCCTGTGCTTCTTCAGTCGATGTGTCGAACTTCAAACTAGGAACGTCTCTTACTGTTACGATGACACTTAATCTCTGACTTCACACTGATCGTCCGATCATTTGGGATACTCACAAGAGAGAGCAGCGGATTTTCTATGTAAATCATGCAATCATGAGTGGAGATCACAGTTCAAAACCACCTATACACTGATCAAGAGTTGTGTTTTTTGTTTATGTGAAATCAAGCTTCATTTATGTCATAAAAGTGTGAAAAATGATCTTATCTGCTTCTCCAAGGCCCTTCCTCAGGGGGCAATAAACGAGGCTGAGATGAGCACAGAAACACCGATGCCGGAATTTCAGGTAATCTTTTAAAAGATTAAAAGAAAAATATTTTATATTTAAACAAAATACAGTCTAAGTTTTCACGTTTTTTATATATTTTTTTAGCCCTATACAATCCCAGATCCCGACTCAACCCGCGATGACCTTCAGTACTACGAGCACGACGTCGACCCACGTGACGACTGGATCGTTCGAACCAAGAAGGAGTGGTCCGGCCTGCCCCGCATCGCCACGCACCCGCTGGACCTGGCCATCCTGCGGCTAGCCAACCTGGAGAGGAACATCGAGAGGCGCTACCTGAAGGAGCCGCTGTGGAACCCAGCTGAGGTGATGCGCCTGGCTCCCCTCACCCCGACTCCCGGAGAGGAGCACCCGATGGACGTCATCAGGTGAGGGCCGCCTCCAGGTTAAAACACAGGAAACCCTCCACGTTTCTTTGTTCACGCTTGTTTCCCGCCTTTTATCCGCTTCAGCCTGGAGAGTGAAATCACGTCTCGACTCAGGACGTGGCGGCAGGCTCTGGATCGCTGCCGCAGCGCTCCGCAGCTCTGTCTTTGTTTGCTTCAGCTGGAAAAGGCCATCGCGTGGGAAAGATCTGTTACTAAAGTGGTAAGAAGTCTGTCGGCAAACGGTTCAGCTGTCATTTCACAAAACATTAAAATGAGATCAAATTCATTTATCAGGGTTCCTGCAGATCCTTAAAAAGTCTTAAGTCATTGAATTCATCCAAAAATAAGGCCTTAATTAGCTTTAAAATGTCTTAAATCAGTCTTTCAGAAGTCTTAAAAATGGTTGTAAATAGGATGATTGTAATTCATCTCAAATATTAAAATAATGGTAAAAATTATGTTTTTAAATATTCACATGCAGACATTCCCCTTTGACATCACTTCCTGTGATTTCACACGCAAATATCTCAGTTGTTCATCTGAGCAATGTGAAATTTGTTTTTTAATAAGTTAATAATGTTTTTACAAAAATGCATTCACTTGTCTTACAAAACCTTGATGTCACAGGCACTTTAAGGTTTCATCTACAACAAATTAAGGTTAAGACCCCACTGTGGGTCCTAAAACTCCAAATTTTAGGTAGTTAGAGGATTTCCTGAAATTAAATTAAGTTTAAAACTGACTGCTAAGAACGTTTCTGCTATAGTTAGATATGGATAAAAACAATTGGTTTATTTGCAATATTTTAATAATTCAACCAAAAATACTTTGATTCATGTGTTTCTGCCACTTTTAATTTTTTTGTCATTTGTTTTTATTATGAAATTGGTCTTAAATGTAATTTTGCTTGGCATTAAAAAGTCTTAAATGTAACTTGCTTAAATTGTAGGAACCCTGTTTATTTATTTTTGCTGCAACGTGTGTTTTTACAGACCTGTCAGGTGTGTAAGAAAGGGGACAATGACGAGTGCCTCCTGCTGTGCGACGGCTGCGATCGGGGCTGCCACATGTACTGCCTGCGGCCAAAAATCACCCAGGTGCCAGAGGGAGACTGGTTCTGTCCCACTTGTGTCGCTAAGGTCAGAGCCTCCTACGTGATAACCAAACGTCTGTTTAGTTTAAAAATGTGCTCCCCGCAGCTCATTGGTTGGTTTTTCCTGTGTAGGAGGGAGGAGAAACCCAACGCCTGTCCAAAACGCGCACCAGAGTGAAGAAGAAGAAGTACGAAGACGACAGCTCTGAGGATGAGACGATGAAACGACGCAGCGGCGGCGGCATGGCGACACGACACAAAGACTCCGCCCCTCCTCCTCCTCCATCGTCATCCTCCTCCCGTTTCCCTGGAGAAGGGAGCGGCACTAAACGACGACGCATGACAACACGCAACCAACCCGACCTCACCTTCTGCGAGTGAGTTCCTCTCCGTTTCACACGATGTCATCGGTACGACACGCAGCAGCTCAGCAGGAGGTTCTCTGCTTGATTTCCCCCTCCAGGATCATTCTGATGGAGATGGAGGCTCACACAGACGCCTGGCCGTTCCTGGAACCCGTCAATCCACGACTGGTGCCGGGCTACCGCCGCATCATCAAGAACCCCATGGACTTCCTGACCATGAGGGAGAAGCTACTGCAGGGAGCGTAAGAACTCAGTTTTAACTTTAAAACTTCACAAACTCCACTTTTTATCCCACTTTTTATTACAGAAACGTCAGACACACAAATCTGATGCTTGTAGATTTTTATTCTTTGGAAGAAAAGTGACGTTAATAAAACCAAATACTTATCACCAACACTTTTATGTGATGAAGAAAAATAGCTCCATACAGATGAATCAGCTTTGATTCAAAACAAACTCATCCCTGGAAAAGTATTAAAGCAAATAAACTTGATTGTATTTAATCCAAATTTTTGATGATATCAAAGTTAAAAAGCATTAAAGTCGGGTAAAGTCTGTTTTTGTCCACCATGAAAGATATCTGTTAGCAAAATATCTCAGGAACCAATAGACAGATTAGTAGTAATAGCTGGATGGAAGTCCAGAGCTAATCAACTTCTGGAGTCAATCTAATTCAAGTTATTGATCTTAGGCCACACAATAAAAGCTGTAACTCTGTTAATGTTCCAGATATTGAGCTAAGATTTGGTGTGGTTGTAGCTGAGAGTCATCCCTAAAACACTCTGAGATCAATAAACATCTGAGTTTAAACTTCACCCTGGAATGTGGTGGGTAATGTGTTAGTTTCATTTTTATTTACTTTCTCAATCTGTTTTATTTTCATGCATAGCGACATCTCGTGGTTTGAAGAAGCCGTAATGTTTCGGTTGGATGTGGCTGGGCAGCTGTGGGGCGTGTAACTCGATGGAAACAGCCAGAGAGCACCTATAACTTTAAATATATTCATTTTAGTCATATTTTGAGACAGGGGGGTGCCTGCCAAACAAATTTTGAACACCCTGCATGTGGAGGGACATGTAACAATTAGTTTGGGTAAACAACCCTAACCTGCCTGGAACAGGATGGTTGTTTTCGAATATGAATATTAATTATTAGTCATCAACTAGGTGCTCATAATGCCAAATTTGAAGTCAGTAAATTAAGATTTTCATGTTCACAATCATTTTACTACTTGCCCAGTTCCATCAATCTGTATTTGACCAAACTCCGCCCACACCGCCCCCAACCCCCATGTACTGCAGAGACCTCTGCTTGGATTTATTAGGAAGGACCCACTGATGTCACCAAGTCAATGACAAACATTTAAAGAGTAACTTACCCCAAAATTAACTTTTTTTAGCTGATAAACTGTCTAGAATGTGTCTAAAATGTTATATAGTACTGTTTCT